CACAGTTGTGTTTATGTTTATGTAGTTACATATCTATATATCACCCTATGTGTTCACTGAATCACTGGTCAGTATTTACTGTGTTAGCCAACTGAAGCACTGGTTAACATCAAGGGAGACTGGTTCACTAAAACACTGAAATCTCATTAGATTTACAGCTTTAGCAAAGAGGGTCCACAGTTACTTTATTACCACCACCTGGTTAATGGGCCGGGGAAGCTATAGTTTATGGGGATTCCTTGAATAGTTGAAATAGAGATTAGATCTGAGCCCAGGAAGAGGAAGCAATATACACACACACAGGCAGAGCAGTTTTATTGGAACAGGAGAGCAATGTCTAAAATGTAGCAGTTCCTTGGAAACAAGGAAGTGTCAGGTTTGCCCAGCTCCACCTTCCTCTCTTCTTTTCCTCACACTAGCCTAGCCCTTGCACTGATTACACTATTCAACACACCTGCCCCGCTTCCCTGATTACTCACCAGCTGCACCTCATTAGTCTCCTCCATACTTATACACTGTTCACCAGTCTGCCAGTTCTTTTTCTGTCTTCAGGCCAGTGGTTATTATGTTGTTTTATCAAGTTTATGCTAAGATTGTCTTTGTTCTCTCTAGTCCTTGTTAGCACCCTAGTCGTTATCCTGCCCTGACGTCTCTAGTGTCTTCTTCCTCTTCGAGCGTACCCTAACAGTTACAAGTAGAAGTCCTGTATTCAAAATGTTGCTTAAATATAAATACAAAAGTATTGGAATCAAAACATAGGTATTCAAAATGTTACTTAAATATAAATACAAAAGTATTGGAATCAAAACATAGGTAAAAGGTAAAAGTAAAAGTACTTATTATGCAGAGTGGCACATTTCACATTCCTGTATTTAATATTATTGTACTATAATTGCTGTTGCCTTACTGTGTACGTCCCTTTTAATGTTGCGGCTGGTAAATGGGCAGCTAGTTTTAACTGTCTTATATGCATTTAATTTGAATTACTGCTAGGTAGCTTGTGAATTTTCCACCACAGATCAATGAGGTCTTATGATTATTGTATTTTTATTTCTTTTTTATTGTGAAAAGCATCTAGTAATTAAAGTTATAAACTAAATGTAGTGGAGTAAAAAGTATATTTGCCTCTAATATGTAGAGAAGCCAAAGGATGAAGTAGCAGAACATGGAAATACTCAAGTACAGCATAAATACTTCAAAGTACAGTACTTGAGTAATGTAACTAATGTACGTAGTTACTTTCCACCACTGCAAATAAGCAACTAATTTTCATAATTTTTTAAAGTTTGTCTCATGAGCATCGGTTTATATATCCAGTAATACTACAACTCATCAGATGTTTTTTTCTGTTAGTTTGATAAGATTTTTATTTTTGTGGGTGGCTGGTCTTTTTTGTTAGTTTAACATGAATGTCACTTTCGGCTTTTCCCCCGTTACGGGTCGCCAGAGCAAATCGTTGCATTGACGATTCGCATGTTGATATTTGGCACATTTTACACCGGATGCTTTTCCTGACGCAACCCTGATTTGAACCCAGTCCACAGCGGCCAGAGCGCTGCGCCCTAACCACTAGTTTATCAGGGAACTCCTTTTGTTGGTTTAACATGGCATCACATTTTTTGTAGCCAATCACAGCTTTGTTTTTGATGGTTCCGTAAGAGCATGATTTGCTGCCATGTCAGTGGGAAACAACACAAGATTTAGATACATTTGTTGAAAACTGACCCACCTTCTATAATCTGAATGAACTTTGACCCACAAAGGACCGACCTCTCTATCAGGAAATATTGTTTGTTTTTATTCTTATCTTATAAGTGCACAGTGAATTGACACACTAATAAAAGCAGGGGGCACTACCGTGCAGTCGGACCGAGATAAGCCTAGCAAACTTTTCTTCCATAGTGTGGCCAAAAGCAGGAGGGAACAGGTAATAGAATGCGTAGCATGGTATTAGACTAATAGGCTAACAACAGCATCCCACAGAGGTGTAAGTTATACAACTTTTTAATGTTTTGCTTTCACTGTCCTTCTTATTATTATACCCAAACTGCTTCCCCTCTTCTGTCCAAATGCCTGGACACTGGAGACCCTTGCAGTTTTGCAGATCAAAGTTCAGTCAGACCTCACATGTATCTCACGCTGTTTCACACATGAATGGAGAGCAATGTTTGGTCTGACCATAACAAGGAGAAGGAGTTCATGTCCTTGATGACAGAGAATCAATTTCTGTACATGTGCTGACCTGGTCCCATATAGAATACAGTCCATTTTGATGTTAATGTTATAAAATGTCATTTACACTCCTTGTTTAGCCCAGCAGAAGACTGTGACAACAGCTCCTCCTCCTCTCCTCTTCCATTTTGTGGAGACTTGTTTGGGGCAAAAACAAAATGAAGATATTATGAATAAAATCTAAACTCTTGGAATGTATAAAAAATACAGTAAAGGGCGTCAGAAGGAAAAATAATCTACAGGTGAATGTATCGGTGATTTAACCTGTTTTTTGAATGCCTGCACAACATGGCTTTTATTAAAATCTGTAAATAGTGACCATGTAGATGGTTAATAGAAAAATGTGGCAAGAATTCAATGATAAGCTTTATCAAGTGATTATATAATGATATGTAAAATAGTTGTGTGACACATCATCTGCATGTTTGTATATTACAAATGTTTGGTTCACCTCTGTAAAATGCAATCTGCCCAAGTTAAATGTGTGTTAAGTTAAAGGCTTACACAGCTTACTCACAAATAAAGAACATGCTGTATTTGATATCAGCATTTTTGTGATATGCTCCTGCTCATCTGATAGCCAACTACAACAGACAGAATATACCTTAAAATATAGTACAGCCCAATACAGAAACGCTAAGTACATCCATTTTTGTAACAAGACTTACAGGAAATTGGAAAGGTATGTCTACTGTATTAGATTGTATTGTGCAGGTGTTGCTTTTATTGTATCGTTCATGCTATTATTTGTTTATCAGGTAATCAGTGTCTGCTGTTAGCGGCAGAATCAACTCACAGTGTCACAAATTAAAAATTTAAATTAAAATGAAACATATGCAGTAACTGAAATTTATCATTACTGGAATTACTTAAGTATTATTTTGTGATTACTTGTGATTACAGATTACTTACTGCAGCACTTCCATTCGTTTCTGTGACATATAATATAAGGCAGCACAAACAAGGCAGTAAAGAAATTTGGAACCTTGGTCAATGCCACATCCATCCAACCATTATCTATACTGCTTATCTTAAAGAGAGACTGGAGCCAATACCAGCACAACGCTGGGCAAAAGGCAGGGAATACCCTGGACAAATTGTCAGTCTATCACAGGGGTGACACAAATACTCACAGTCACCAATCAACCTGCATGTCTTTGGACTGTGGGAGGAAGTCAAAGTACCCCAAGCAAACCCACACAGGCACAGGGAGAACATGCAAACTACACATAGCAAGGCCACAAGGTTCGAACCGGGCACTTTCTTACTCTGACGTGACAGTCTAACCACTTCTCCACCATGCCACCCTAAATGCCAAATAAATCAATAAATAAATGAATAGCAGTAGTGGAAGAAGTACTCAGATCCTTTATTTACATAAAAGTAGCAATACAACAGTGTAAAACTACTTTATTACAATAAAAAAGTACCAAGGTATTTGAATCAAAACATACTTAAAGTACTAAAACTCAAAGTATTCATTATGGAGAATGGTAAATTTAACATTAATGCATATCACATTATTAAGATTTTAATTATTGTGTACATCATGTTTTATGTTGCAGCTGGAGAGTTAGTTAAAGCTTATATGCTTCTAATGTGAATTATTGCTGGGTAGCTTGTAAATTTTCCACCAGAAATCAATAAAGTCTTGTGATTACTGTATTTTTTTTATTAATCTGATTGTGATAAGTATCTATTAACTAAAGTTATAAAATAAATGTAGTGGAGTAAAAAGTACAATATGTGGCTCTAAAATGTAATGTCAAAGTATGAAGTAGCACAATATGAAAATATTCAAGTAAAGTACAGACACTGTACCTCAAAACTGTAAGCCTATTTAAGCGCAGTACTTGAGTAAATGTAGTTAGTTACTTTCCACCACTGATGAATAGATACATAAAGGAAAGTAGTGTTGACATGCTAAGTTTTCTTACTATGAGACAAATGTCAGTGTTCTGGTACCACAATTGATCATAAAATGTGTATCAAGTGTATCAATTTCAATTGTACACTTTGGAGATTAACTGTTGCTGAAAT